GGAGAGAGAAAAATGCCACATGATTGTCAAGTCAACTGACCGGGGAAATTTTTAGCCAACCGGTTAAAAATCAAAATTGAGTGTTTTCTTATTGTTGGAGGACTTAATTGGGTGATTTAATAGTATAAGGACTTAATTGACTTTTTCGATATAGTACAGGGACCTATTTGATAGTTTTCCCTTTAATTAATTAGAATAAAGGTATCAGGGTTTGAAAATCAATGTTTACTCCTATTTATGAAAGATTAAGCATTGACTCTAGTTGGAGAAAAGTTGTATGTTTTACTTCTATCAAAGACAATTACTATGAAGAAGCGATTCAACTCAACAACTCAACTGCTCACTCTCAAGTCTCAACGCGAGGTCTAGGGTTCAAAATTGCATGGATGAGTTTCAATCCTATTTACTCCAGTCTTACCCCAGCCCCCTCCTGACCCCTGGTAAGAAAAACTCAATGATAACTTCTTTGCCCGGAACTTCTCACCAACGAAGAAAACTTTAAATTAAACCGAGCTAATAAGCCTCTAAGGAAAACAACATACGCAAATGAATAGAAGTTAAATACTAAAACTCTATTAACACTAGAGAAACATAGACAATTCATGTGAATAAACACGTGCAGGGCATTATTAGGCATTATTAACTCACCTGCACTTCTCTATCCATTCAGTAAATGGATAAAAAACTTAACGTTACAAATCCATACGACAACGCAATTTTCCAAATACACTAGAATGTGAACCGATAAACACACATACTACAACAAGCAAGGCTGCCAGAAATGACAATAAGAAAAACCCCTTTACCCTGCCTCCTACACTTCTTGCACTTATGATATCCGGAGCTCTACCAGCTGAAGAAGTGATAGTGCTTTTAGAATTCATTCTTACCCTACTGAAACTAGACATCCTCAAGAACGCCTTGTTAACCATCACGCTCTCAGCGGCTGATGCAGGGGAAGCAGGCATCGCTTCCAGAAATGACCATAATGTGGAAGACAACCATGTTTGAGACTCTTCATTCTGTTTGCTGTTCTGATTCTGGTATGGTTGTGAGGCGATACTTGTAGAAACATCAGCATACGCAACACCTGAACATGCCCAGAAACTCTAATATTAGCAAAAACAACAAATCAAATGAGTTGGAAAGCTTTCCAAGTCGACCAAGGATAAGCTGCCTTCTCCATGTCAAAGACAACATACCATTAGTACATACCCTCCCCTTCCTACATTTTCTGGATAATTCATTTTGAATGGTAAAAAAATTACATGCACCAATACAAAAAACAAAAGTAATAAATTCAGATTGGAGATTAGTTCATCTGAATTCAGCAGATCAGAACTATCCAACCCAGTGATATATATGATTAAATATTGCTGCTCAGAAAATATAAAGCTCCACCCATGGGTAGGCAGAAGTATCAGCTTGAAACTGCAAGTATGTACCTGTCGCTGGTAAAGGCATAGTTCCTCTGTATTCCTCTGTGGAGTTGTGAATACAATTATTTGCTCCGAAGTTCAACATTTCATTCCCAGAAGTAGGGCCATAATTTGGAGATTGGCAAACGAAACCATTTTCCTGCGGCCTTTGATGCAGAGCTGCATTTACTGTTTGATTATTAGGTGTAAAATCATCAAGGAAGAGCTCAGAGTCATTAAACAAATCAAATCCATCATCCTCTCTCAGCTGGGCATTCCCTGAGATCCTGTCACTTGGTGGGGGAAACTGCACAGGCCTTGTGCGAAGAAGATCATCCATCTCAAGAAAATCTTCCTCGGGAAACTGAAGATCTAAGAGCTCTGGATACCCAGTGAATGCAGAACGTGCAGTAGATGCTGCCTCAGTTGCATCCCACGACTGCCCGGCAATAAAGCTTGAATCCAAATTATCTTGTTGAAAGCCTGGATAATTCGTCATTAAAGGCTCAAAATATTCCGGATCCTCAATCGATCCATTAATGACAGTGCTATGAGTCTCTTCTTCTCCAAGAAACTGAAATTAAAATAACACGAAAACAGTTAGTCATTATGAAGCTGAAGTTTCGTATAGATCTAAAAACAGAAGTAATTACGTCAGGAAACTAAAACCCACAACATCTTTCTGCCTATTCAACACAGGTGGCATAAATGTAAAAACCTAACAGACTCTGCAAAATTAGCACAAAAGTAACACGGAACTGAATGTAAAACCGCACAAGAAACAAGTTCACACCTGAGTTAATGCCCGTTCAAAGTCATCAAGATTTACCGGCAATGGTGCCTGATCATCAACTATGTCGTTCAAAAGCTCCTCAACATCAACCAAAGAGGGATCTACCTGCGTGTTTCTACAACTATCTGCAGGAGGAACTTCGTCCACATTGTGATCACCAGGCACTATGTCAAGCTTACTAGTGGTTTTCACAAATTCATCATCAGCCCAATCCTCCTCCCTAAAAGGGGCTCCATACTGCTCTCCATTCTTAGGACCAGATCCACTCTTCTTAAACAATTTGTAAATCACATAATAGTCATGGATATTTTGACACATCTTAAGCTCATCTTCCTCCAATACATACTCATGCATCACCCAATCAGTTCGCTGACCAGTGGGTGCACGCCCCCTATAGAAAACCAAAGTTTTCTTAATCCCAACATTACGTGAATTGCAGGAAATTGTACGATCCTTTCCTGTTGCCTTCCAATAGCCTTGCCTAGTAGCTCTGTTTGCCCTTGAACCATTTGGATACTTTCTGTCTCGGGGGCTGAAAAAGAACCACTGTCTGTCCCTATTCTTCAATGATGCCAACTCTGCATCCAAATCACCAACAAAAAATAAGTATCACATTGCAAAACGCCAAAAAAAAACTAAAAAAACATTTAAAACAAGTAAACAACACACTGCTAACAAAAACTATAACAACATCCGCATCAATACATCACATTTGTCAACAATGAAAATAGTATCTAAATTCTTAAGAAACAGATGTATTGGTAATCATCATAGGCCTAATGTACAATTAATATTTCACTTTTAAAAAACAGTCAACACTCAAGAGCATCAGAACATTTGAAACTGGCAATGAACTCTAAGCCTATTACAGCATCTTAAGGACAGAACTGACCACGAAAGCATCCACAAGCATCACACGTTGCGCATACAAAATCCTATAATCCTATTCTAGATGATAACATCATCATTTAGGTACATCCTGGGGCAGAGTAATAGTCAAACTCTCATCCATAAATCATTATCCCCAACAAAGTAACACAGAAACAAACATAAATGCACATGAGAACATGAAATCGCATGATAAACAACAAGAAATAAAAACATTACTAACGTGATCCCATCATTTTATCAAAAGAGAATTCAATCAACAAAAACAATCAAAACCCACATCAATAATTCAAGAAATCCATAAAAGGTTAAAACCCCATAAAAAAAAGTCAACGTCCTAAAATCAACAGACATATCAATAATCAAAACCCATCAGAGCACAATTCAAGTAAACAAACATACAGACAAAAGAACCCATCAAAACCTCAAACGAACAAACGATATGAAACCAAATTCGACAAATTAGGGCAAAAGGGCAAGCAATTATACCAGGTAATTCGTCAGGTTCTCGTGTATAAACATCGACTTCAGCAATAATATCAAGCTTCAACTTTCGACGACAGATCTTTCGCTTGAGATAATAAAGAACCAATTCTTCATCTGTAGGATGAAATCGAAACCCCGGTGGCCAAACATCGTCGCAGAGATTTGCTGATGATGATATTGGGGTTGAATTCATGGTGAATTTTGATTGGAGATATGTTTGGACAGAGATAGGTGAGAGAGAGGGAGTGATGAGAAAATTGTGAATTGTTTTTTTTCTTTCGTAGTATAGTAAAATTATTGAATTAAATAAATATAAATAATAATTAAAGTGATTTTTTGGTCAATGACTCAATGTAAGATGTGATTTTCCTGGAAGGTGAAGGATGGAAAAAAATGGGCTTTCTTTGGTGCACTTTGTAGTTTGTAGGGTTGGTTTGCAACTCCTAAAAAAACACTTCTCAACTTTTTGCTTTAAAAAACATTATTTTCCAAACACTACAACTTTTATTTTTCTCGGTTTCCGCGTCAAAAGTGATTTCACTTTTTCTATTACATAAAAAAATACTTATTTTACCAAACATTACCCACTTTTACTTTTCAAATTCACTTTTTTCTCAAACATTATCAACTTTTATTTAATGACTTCTCCCCATTTCATTAAAAAAACACTTTTTTAAAAGCACAAACTGTTGCAAACAGAGCCATAGTTTGTATTGTGCTTTGTGGAAAAATTTGCATTAACAAGCTAATAGGAGGAGAGTACAATTACAAATATTGTACTCCGTAATTAAGAGTAAAATGTAGTCAACAATCACAAATATTATTTTAAGAGTAAAATATTGTTTTAATTTCTCTAGTAGGATTAATTATGTATGTTTGGAAAAATATACCCTTATAACTTTTGAAATATTTAATTCATAATAAATCTTAAAAAAAATAAAATTTAAAATTTATTTATAAAATAAAAAATTCATTTTTTTTATAATAAAATAAAAAATTAGAAAAATAAAAAAGTACAAATTAAAAAATGCAAATTATTGAAACAAAACAAAATAGTAAAAAAAACATCGCAGCCTTTGCCAGCCCAAGCACCCACCAGTTTCGATCACCGAACAAAAAAAGACAACTTGCAATAGTAATGCCATAGTTATGGTTGTTTCAATGAAAGTATTGACATTATCAATAGTAATAATGTCATTTTCTTGTGATCTTCAGAAAAAATGACATTTTTCTCGGATCAGAGGTGGTGGTGCTGGAGGCAGTGAAAAAGACATCTATATTCATTTTTAATGAGGTTTTACTATTTTTTAGAGAAATGACCAAGAATTGAGACCCGCAACGACCATGCGGGCTAAACCTCTGAATGCATGAAATCATGAATATAAGGTCAAACATCTTTAGAATTGATTTAGTCACCTTGATTTACGTTGAGCCCGTTTGATAACATTGAAATCGGCCGAAATAAAATAAATAAAAATTATACTACCTCCGTCCCTTAAAACTTTGCCAGAGTTGACCGGCACGGAGAATAATAAAGTAAAAACTGTGTGGTTGAGGTTTGTGCAGAAGAGAGAGAATTAACAGAAACTACAAAATATTGATTAGAAGGAAAGTGACAAAGTTTTTTGGGTAATATCTCCACAATCTCTCCCATAGTGGCATCAACACTTATGAACATGAGTGCTGCTGCTTTCGGAGGTAATATGAAGGTACAACTTCATTACTGTATAATTATTATCAAATCAGAGAGTTTTGATTAACTTCAGTGTTAAAAACCCACGTTTTGTCTGATGCGTGGCTACTGTTCGGTGAAATGCCTGAGAGAAACACCATCTCTATCGTGACCCCAATTCAAAGAGGTTGTTTTGATGGAGCTCTAGGATGTTGAATTCCTTTGTGAGCACTGCCCTATTTTGTTGTTACTCCATGTGGTGGCTTGGACGGGTATGGTGATGGCTTTTTACTGAGATTGATCAATTTGAGGATGCATTGGGTCTTTATTCTGAATTGGGAAGGTTGCATTTAGGCCAAATAGAATCAGTTTTGCTAGTGGGTTGAAGGCTTGGGTTGGATTGTGGGCAGTGTTTGTGTGTTTTAAGTTAATGATTTTGCTTTTTTTTGTGTGTGTTGGTTTTAAGAATGTTGCGATCATATCAGTGGAGTAGAATGTATTTCCTTTTCTAGAAGGTTTGCTTGCTCCCAGTTTGATGTTTTTCGTATTGAGCAAATTGTATATTAGTATTCTTAGACCACCCTGGAAGACACAAACAAGTGATGATGTGCATTATGATAAAATTGAGGTGCTATGATAATTTCTTGATATGATCTGGTGTGATGCTTTTTACTCTATCCTGTAGCTTCAGATCTATAAGCTTTGCAGTGGTTTTAGTCTTATGTAAACTTTTTGCAGCTTGTGTCACTTTGCTATGCTTCCCTATGTTTTCTTTTCATTTTATTGTTTATTCAAAGCTTTCTATTCTGGTGAAGTGTGCCATGTGTTTTTGAAAATGCTCAATGAATTTGTAATAAAAACTGGAAGATTGTGATGTTGGGTAGGCAGATGGGGAAAGCCATTGCTGTTCGGATTTATGTAATTGTAGAGTTGCTGAAATGTCGTTTCTTTTGTGTGATTTTCTCTTTTTTCTGCTTGAACTACATATCCTACTCCCTGTTGATTGTGATGATGTTTAGTTTGTTTACCCTTGGGAATTTAAGATTTATTTCACCATTGCTGATACTCTATTGTAGTTGATAAGGATGACTGTTGAATTAATACTTAAGTTGTTCTTTTTATTTTATTTTTTCATGATGATATATGTAACAATCATTCTTATCTACCATTGATGAGAATTTGCTTGAGATGATGAATTGTATTTTGGAACGTTAAAGTTACAACTGGTTATTCAGTGGTATGCGAATACTTGTCTGCATTAGTGCATTTCCCTCAAGACTTGGATAGTGGTATGCATATGCTTGTCTGCTTTTGTAAATAAGTATGTGTTTCTTGTTCTTTTCAGAAAGCCCTCACTGGGTTGAGGCGTATAGATTTGGAAGGTCTATGTTGGAGAGTTTTTGATGCCAAAGGCCAGGTGAGAATGACCTTTTTCATAGTACAATGTGCATACTTCTTACCATTGATGCAGTCTCTGTGTGCCTACATGTATATATCTATATGTATTATTTTTTGATTTTTTGAAAGCCCAGGCCTGTGACTACATACATTAGAGGTGCTTGATGACAATTTTAGAATGATGAATTGAATTGGAATTTATATCTTTTTTTTTTATAATTAAAGTGAAGGATTAACATGGTGATTTGAATATATTCCATAGTATGAGTTGCCCTCACAGGCTCACAGGCGCGCAAAGGCATGAGGCGCTGCTAGGCGATAGTTTTAGTTCATCCCAAACACCCAGGGGCAGCAGATGCTCCCAGGCACGCCTTATATCACACCTTTTGCCGCCTTTTGCGCCTCTGAAAGACGTTCGCCTCGTCTGCCTCTTGGAAGTGTTATCTCATCTTTTTAAGAGGCTTCGGGCGATTCACCTGTCTCATCCGAAACTTTTAAGTCTTTCTCTCTAACCTTCTCTTATCAGACTGGCTTCTGCCTTTTACTTCTCCATACTCTTGCGCTCCTCTTTCGTCAACTCCTGTCTCGCAGGTATTTTTTTGCGGTTCCCTTCTACTCTTGGATCTCTTTTTATCTTAATTTTTTAAATTTATGAAATAATTTAAATTATATTTATATATAACCATATAACAATCTGCCCTGAACCCTAATCTCGAACAGAAATGTTATCAATTTTAAATAAAAATAATGATGGCTTATCCAGTCAGATTGTTTTAAATTTTACTTTTAACCGTTTTCCAGTAGTCCTCCAATTGTCCAATAGGAGGAGATTGTTTATAATTTAACAAAAGTAAAAAATATATGCCATTTTTTATTATTAAAAATTTATTACTACGTATATAACAGTTTAGTACAACAATTGCCATTAATTATTTAAAATTTTGTTTCTATTATGGTGTTTATTAAGATTGTATAATGGTTTGAAGTATTTTTGTGATGTTATCACTTTTTGGAAGATTGCTTCATGTAGATGTATAAATATATTTTAGCAAAGTTATAAGTTAAAGTTTCGTGATGCGCGCGCCTCGTGCCTCGGCTAAATTCAATGAAAACGCCTCACGCCTTTTTAAACTAAATTAATACTTTTTCTCAGCCTCCTTAACCGCCCACAATGAACGTTTGGAATAGATTCCATTTTGAGAGAGTTGAGAAACGTCAACCCCCCTCTCCTTCATCACCTGAAATGAAGCTCGAGTACTTTTAAAAAGAAAAATACGTCTGTTCATATTTTGTTCAGTAACTAACTTCTAACAACTGATTTATACCTCTAAATCCTAATGACTGAAACAAAAAATAGAAGTCAAAAGTCCTAGGCATTCCTGTGCTTTTTCATGTGTTGCTTTGTTTCATTTCCTTTGTGACAATCTCTATAACTCAAGATGTTGGTGCATGACTTGGTAGTACAAATATGTGTTGCCTTTATTTCTTTTTTTCATTGTCATACATAGATTAATGTTTCTCAACATACATAGATTATTGTTTCTCTTTCTCAGGTTCTTGGAAGGTTGGCATCTCAGATATCTACTATGCTCCAAGGGAAGGATAAACCAACATACACCCCTAATCGTGATGATGGAGATATGTGCATTGTCCTTAATGCTAAGGATATTGGTATCACTGGGAGAAAACTCACTGATAAATTTTATCGATGGCATACTGGGTAAGTTTATAATAATAGACTTGACTTGAATTTGGTGGGCTTTATGCTTTTTAATGGCCTAGTTGGGTGGGTAATCTGATTGCTTTCATGACATAGAAAGTTTATGGATGCTTACATGTGAATATGGGATGACTATAAATCCTGATGCTTTTAGGTCTTTCCATTCAAACAGTTATTATAAACTGATTTTTTTTCTGACCTTACTAGTTTCTTTTCAAACTTGTAAACTGCCTATTTGTTATTGGAGGGAAAATGCTTCATATGTTACCCCGATAGTTGCGCAAAATTTTAAGCATTTTGGTACTGATGATGAATTGCTTCTTATTTTTTGTTGTTGTTTACATTTTTATAGATATGTGGGTAACCTAAAGGAAAGGAGTTTGAAGGATCAGATGGAAAAAGATCCAACTGAAGTTATACGTAAGGCCGTCATGCGCATGCTTTCTAGAAATAAATTACGTGATGTAAGTACCTAATGCTTATAAATTGGTTTATGTGGTCCAACAAGAATTTTTATGCCAATTTCATTAATTTGTTCAGTCTGTTTGAGTTTCTGTACCCTTTTCCCTTTTCCTTTACAGTGATTTGTATGCCGCCTGTAGCAGGTTTTCTGTGACTTTATGCTTCAGTTTGGTAAAACATTATTTGAAGGCAGGATTATTGCAGGATCATGTACTGATTTTGGACTGTTGCTGTCAAATGGGGAATTCAAAATGCCAAATCTGACCTTTGACCTCTAAATAATGCAGGATAGAGACCGCAAGCTTAGGATATTTGCTGGTGATGAACACCCATTTGGTGATAGACCCTTGGAGCCCTATATTATGCCTCCTCGTCAAGTGCAGGAAATGCGGCCTCGTGCAAGACGTGCCATGATTCGTGCACAAAAGAAGGCAGAGGCGCAGCAACTAGGTGTAACCGCTCCAAAGAAGAATAAGAAGGAAGGAGAGTTAGAATTAAGCGCATGAAGTTTTGGAGGGTTAAGACATCCCCAGTTGGACGCTGATCACATTAAAAATAGGGTGACAACTTTGGTACCTTTCTAAAATATGGGGTACCGTACCTATCATTCATTTGATTGGACCACATCACTATATCATTTTTAATTTAGATTTAAATAATTCAACTGCTACATTCTCATTGGTCCATGTGGACAAAGGTATGGTACTTTATGGATACCATAGAATCTACCTAAAAATAATGGCTACATCATCCTTGTTTAATATTGGCATAAAAAAATTGTTTCCAATGCAGGATGTAAACCTTCATGTAATGCTGACATGTCAAAAATTAATTTTGGCACTGTTTTGTTTACATCACTGTCTTCTTATAAGAGTGCCCTTCATATGCTGAGTCCCTAGTTAGTTAAATACGGTACGGGAATTAAACGGGGTTTAATACGTACGCGTTTTATTCGGTAACATAAATGAAAAAATGGTCAAAAATTCGTTGAAAAAAACGTTGACTTTTAAAAAACGTGTAAATACGTATATGTGTATAACACGATATATGTTACAAAAATTCGGACTAAAAATACGGGATATTATTTTGAACATTTAAATTATATACTTCACAAAATCACATATATAGTGAAAAGAAATAAAAGTATACACATACTCAAGTAGCAAACCCCATTACTACATAAAAGAATAATCCGTAATTGCATAAATCGATGACAAACATTAAAAATAGTAATTAATTCAAAGACATAATTTTGCAAACTAATGTTAAAAAAACGAGGCATAATAACAATAGAATGAGATTAAGTTAAAATCATTATCTTTACTTGATCATCAAATAACATTCAAGTTAAACTCATCATTTTCATCAAGATGATAGATGACATATGAGAAAAGTTGTGTGACTGCTCCGTTTATTATTGTTTATGTGTAAAAACTTATACTTAAAAAATGCCAGGTTTAGAAAAAAACTTTAATTTTGATATGCTTGTTCGGAAAAACATTATAAACCCAATAGTATTTCACATTTTAGTATTTTAGGATGCTAGTTGTAGCCGCCATACAAATAATTTTGGTATTCAATAATTACATTGTAACAATACAAAAACACGAGGTCACGGGAAGGAAGTTTTCCATTTTTATTTTAAACTATTGTTGATCTTCTATTCATTTAATGCATTCACTCAATTGACCCGTTCATGTTTATATCTTTTGTAAAATACGTTAAAAATACGTTTTATACGGGAAGTAAGAGTTTTTTTCCTTTTTAAGCGGACCAACATTATTTTTCGTTTTAAACGTGTTTTCTTGCTCAAAAAAACGGTACGTGTTTAAAACGCATTTAAAACGCAAAAAAGCTAACTAGGGCTGAGTCAGCCAATTTGGAGCATATCCCGCTGATAAAAAAACTACACGCCTAAAAATTCCCTCTCCCAGTCCCATACTCCCACTAGGGATGGACTGGGTTCTGGCGACCCGACCCGGGACCGGTTTTCCGATACTGGAACTGGCCCAGTTCCTCTTCCGATACCGGAATAATTAAGAGAATGCCTATCACTTTGAGGTTTTCTCTTTTCTTAATCCTAATTGAAGAAATAATTAATCCTAATTGAAGAAATAATTTAAAAATAAAACAGAAAGTACAAAAATAAGTAATAATCCCCAATACAGACTGGTACGATTTAATTCAACGTTTTGTTCGTTTTGATTTGATTGTGTCATAGCTCTATAATTCGGAGTAATTTGATCATTCAATTTATCGTTGGATAAACTGCATTGCGGAAATTGAGCCCAAAAAAAGTTGAATTATGTTGGAACTTGCGGACCGAGGTGTAAAATGGTCGGGCTTTGGACATGTTTTTGAGACCAGACTGGCTGGGCCTGGTTCTTGGTTCTGATCCCAACCACTATATTTTTATTATTTTTAATTAGAGAAAAGAGTTAGACATGCATGTCCTCGAACTTACATAAAAATGTCAAATAAGGCCTTATATAGGAGGTTCTGTCCGGCCGTTGCCATTTGGGGCGGTTCCCGGTGGAAATTTTTGATGAAATTTTTTGAGTATCTTATTTATTAAGTCTAGTTTACTCATACCAAATTTCAGAAAATTTCAATCGGGAAGACATTCAAATTAATTCTTGAAGATAACTCCGCAGTTAAAATCGCAGTTATCTTCAAGAATTCATTTGAATGCCTTCCCGATTGAAGTTTTCGCTGAAATTTGATGAGTAAACTAGACTTAATGAATAAGATGCTCAAAAAATTTCATCAAAAAATTCCACCGGCAACCGCCCCAAATGGCGACGGCCGTACAGAACCTCCTATAAAAGGACTTATTTGACCTTTTTATGTAAGTTCGAGGACCTATCTGACCCTTTTGCCTTTTTAATTAATGGGTGGGTATCGGCCTGGGACCGACCTTGGACCGGTACTATTTGGACCCGATCGGAACTGGAGCAAACCGGTTGGTACTGGACTTCAATTATTTAGAACCGGGACCGACCCGGACTGGCTCGGGATCGGCCCAGGACTGGCCTCACCTGGCCCGGCTCCATGCCTACTCCCACCTCGTTTCTTTTTCTCCTCACGAGTGAAGCTTCGCAGGTGTTCAAGGCAGCATATCTCTATTCAAAGGATTTTATTTTTAGTAAACACAGACTTTTTCCATTTCCACAAATTTCCCATTCTAAATTCACCTCATCTTCTATCAAATTAGTTTCAGGCTACGTCCTCACGGCCCTCACTGTATTGGCACTACTTTTGTTTAATTTTAATGAAGTTGTTTAAATATTACGATGAGCCAGTGATATGTGCTCATGGAGTTTTTACAGATTTCTTTTTTGTTAAGAAATGTAATGTGCTTTTACTATTTTATGGTTTATATTTTGAACTTTTAGATCAGTTAAGTAGTAGTTGTCATATTGAAACTCATTAAACCAAATGAATGCATATATATTATGAGCCTAATATGCCAAAATTGACTAATTCATTAAGGTCGACATGTGAAGTAGCCAATATGAAAATATCATTAGTTCTGATGTCCTTAAAAATAATTTTCTCATAGCAGTAACATACCTAATAAATCAGGCAATAGAGCTTGTGTTGGCCTCTGTAATTTATTACAGTATAGATAGAACGTTAGTCTCTTATACTCCGTATATGTTTCTCTTAGAAAAATGTAATGGATTCATAGTTAAACAATTTAGGGCCTATTTCGTAACTTTTTTTTGAAATGGCTAAATCTATTGAGTTTTGCAAGAAAAAAAAACGTTTGGTGAAGCCGGTTTAAGCCAAATAAGTCAAAGCCAAATTATTTTAATTATCATGCTGAGAAGCAGAATACGTGTGACTATTGAGTAGGCTGCACATAAGGCGGGTTGGGTCGAGTTCGCCATATTTTATGGGCCTACCCTATTTATTCGGGTTAGCTATTTACCAACCCGCGGTATGAAATATAAGTTGGTAAACCATGCATGAACGGGTCGGGTAGGGTCAGGTATTGAAAGAGATTTATTTCGGGTTGAATCTTTAATATGAGCAACTAGTTTATAAGAGTAAACCATGCATGCAATATGAATCTCGGTTAACTTGTTTCTAAAATACACAAACAAATACAAATGCTTTTTATATTGGAGTAAACTTAGGGAAATAATATCAAAACATTCTTGCATAAAGGAAATTAATTTAGAAGCGAATGTATATATGTACGTGTGTGTACTAATCACCTAGTCAAAATGGTAAATGTTTATAATGCTAAAATCGCAGTCTTAGATAAAGCACATCGTTCTTAAATAGAAATTATCCAACTAAACTTTGTAGCATAATAATAAATTGAACTTTCGGCCGGGTCGGGTACGATCGGGTTTGAGATTTTAATTCCGCAACCCTACCCGATAGGTGCGGGTTCGTACATATTTAACCCGTGAATATTTTTAAAAATCTAATACCCGATTAAAAGTGATCAGGTAGGGTTGGGTCGGGCGGGTTATGCGGGTTCGGGTTATTCTTGTGCAGCCCTACTGTATTGAGCCTGAAAATTACGAACTATTTTGGCACTAACATATGACATGTACTAAGTATTCTTTGCATCCCTTGTGATGAGCACACAATTAGGCTAACCGGAACCCGCGTCCGTCAATAAATTAAATTTCCCACTACTTTATACGTATTCACACCGTCAATTCAATTTTTGGTGCAATCCAGCCACCGTCAATACATTACTACCTCTGTCCCCCTAAGTTTGGGACAAAGGGATGTGTTGTTGTTTTTAAGAAAAAGTGGAATTGTGTGGTTGGTATTGAATTGATAAAGTGTAAATAAAGCAGGAATGAATTCTAACTAGTCAAATATTACCTAATATGGTATGAGACAAACTTAATGAGACGGACGAAAAAAGTAAAACGGGACAATGTTAGGGGGACGAAGGGAGTATCTTGCAAAGTTTATTCAATTAAAATCTTATTTTTATTATTATACATTTTTTTATCGATAATTTTTCGGGATAATTAAGATTGAAAAGAGTCAAACATTCCGATGTAAAAATAAATAATTTTGGAATTTATTTTTTTTTGTTTTTATTTTAGATCCATTTTGGAAAAAAAGTGAAAGATGTAAAAAGAATATATTAATCACGAGATCTTAATTTTAGCACTTGAATATATTTAAGAAAAAAAATTAATCAAAATATCTCCAATAGTTGAGTTTTTTTCTAACTTTATATATATGATATTGGTGTCATATGAAAGATAAAAGGAGTTATGAATTTTGATATAATTTTGAAATAAAATAAATACAAATTAAAAAGTTATAACACTTTTAATAAAAAAAAAGATATTTTGTTGTTGGGGTCTGCACTATCTCTCCACATCAGGACAACTCCCCCCATTCTTTCTTCTGGCAAAGGGCGTGAATATGGGATGCCAAATCCCTCCTCCCTTGGGTGCTATTCTACCCATTTGGCACCTCCAAATACATGGGATGGAGGGTTTTTAGGAGTCAATAGGTTAAATTTAAGTTTTGACCTTCACGGCTGCGGATAGCCTTACACGATAGTACGATACCATCTCAACTCTCAAACCAATCACTTCACATAAGTACGTAACCCCACCAATTTAACCTGCTTATAACTTCAACCAACGTGAAGAAATGTATCCTTATTGTGTGGACTAATATGGATCTAAAATATCATTCCAAAGTCTCTTGAATTCTCCAATATTAAATACTTCAGTGGTCAATTCTCAATTTTAGATTCAACAAAAAGATAGAAAAAGAAAGGCAATAATATCCAGGTAATACCTCAAGATGTAAGTTCCAAAAAAGA